GAGGTTAAATCATCACCAACTTTGGCAACAAAACGGCTCTTTTCAGGGCCACCAAGCTTATTACAGTAAAGAGTAGGAATAGAATTCATCTGCCTGTTTGTCCATATTCAGAACCAACGACCACACAAAATGCTCATGTAATCAAACTGGAAGCAGGGGTACAAATTATTTTTATCAACCTTGATCAACTTTGAATCGCCACGGCTGGATATTTTCGATGGAAGAAGCAACAATCTAGCATCTAATTCGACGAAGACGACAGGAAACATTTGTGAAGCCGAGTTATTCGCCTTGACACCAGTCCCGGAGTGACGTTTCTTCACACACATTTTGACAGTTCCTTATGGGGTTTTGCGTTGGAGTGAGAGAATAAGAAAAAGTCCGCCATGTTTCACACATAGACTGACAGTTACATATGAGATTTCTCCATGAGAGCTACAGAGCTCTCGTCAACGCCAATTTACGAAAGAGAGTGTCGATGAAGAGAATCGATCAATGTAGGTAGGACCTATTGAAAAGTGACGCGAGATTTGTTTTCCGTACTGAGCTCCAATGCTACCGACGCCAGGGAGGCAGCTCCCACACCTGGACCCTACCTATCGACCCATCAACTCAACCGTGGACCAACGGCTTAAGGTTCTACAAAGGGTAAGTTATTTTGTGTTCTTCTTCTTTTTTAAATATCATAAAATCATCATCATTAGTTTACACATACATTCATATATTATGAATACGAAAATTTAAAACATGTATTTCGTGATCTTAGATCGAAAATTTCCTGGGTAAAACACATTCACTGTATTTACTTACTTGTGTTCTTCGAAGTATAGCACAATTAAACGCAATCGAATACGCGAAACTCAAAACGACTGCTTCACAAAACTCTTGGTGAACAAAATGTATCACAAAGAAAACCATTTCTACTTTATTGCTTTGCTAGCAATCGTGAAAGTATCATTGAAACAGTGGTGCCAGATGTATTGCCTCTAGCAATGAATTTAAGTTTATTAAAACAATTAATTGCGAAGTCTGCCTCATTAACATAGATGAGTGGATGTATTTAATGGTGGATAAATATCAAAAACTGATTAAATAAAGCATAAATGACCATGTTAGACATTTTACCGGTCCAATTAAAAAAGTCACAGAAGATTGAATTCAACACTAACAGGGTTGATGGCAGCAGTGCACGTAGCCTGGTATACACTTTCCCGCTCAGGGGTGTAAACAAACTTGCATACAGCGCAGTCTGGCAGTACATTCTTATCCACTAGATAGTGTGACATCACATTTGCTGTTGTATTGAAATGAAGGAAGAAAAGAGATGGTTAAGTTTTCCTCACCATACCAGTTGATATTTTTGAAAAATGGGCAGTTTTGGCGTGGGGACATGCACTCCCAATGAATTTTACCTATACATTTAGAAAATGATGATCGAAGAATATTTAAAAAAGAAGAAGTAAACAAAATAATGACCCTTTGTAGAACCTTAACTTCCCGAAGGAAGGCTTAATCTGAGATGTTATGCCTTAGAACATGCCGGTGGCGCCGACTGAGATTTGACCCAGGCCTGCTGGGGTGAGAGGTAATAACGCTAACCACTGGCGCCGATGTCTTTCAAGGTGATATCACGGCGAATGAGAACGACCCAAATTTGAGTTTAGTTATCTCATAAATAAGAAATAAAGTGCAGGAACTCAGCGATGAGTAAATTTGCCTCATGTTTTCCCAGGTTTTTCCAGGGAAAAATTCCCGAATTTGAGAAAAGTAAAGATTGGATTCACTCAGTCTATTGGTACTACTCCGAGACTGAATAAAATTTTCGTCGATTTCCTCATTTTCTAGCAGATTTTTTAGGTTTTCCACAGTAAACCATGAGTCAAATTTACTCATCGCTGAGTTCCTGCACTTTTGGCGATTATGAGTGAACTAATCTCAAATTTGGGTCGTTCTCATTCGCCGTGTACGCAAAAGGAAAAGAGCCAGTGTCGCTACTTGATAGCAAACTACTCATAATGGGAGGAGTCTTTGTAGCTTTTATACCACTTGGTTGCACATCATTCTGCTTTAACCTGAAAAGATATAAAAGAGCGCTGCTGTATGGCATTAGCTCATTTTCGCTTCGGTGAACAGCTATATTAGCAGTAGGAAGGTGGTGGCTAGTCCACTCCTTCACACCTAACAAGCAACAATTGACTGGTCGTGGCAAAGGAGGAAAAGGTCTGGTAAAGGAGGCGCCAAGCGTCATCGCAAAGTTCTTCGAGATAACCGCCATCGGTCGTCTGGCTCGCCGTGGTGGTGTCAAACGTTTTTTCGGTGTGATCTACGAGGTGTGCTGAAGGTGTTCCTGGAAAATGAAGTCCGTGATGCTGTCATTTACACTAAACACGCCAAGCTTAAGTGGCCATGGATGTCCTCTTCAATAAAACGGCCCTTTTCAGGGCCATCAAGCTTACATCAGTAAAGAGTTGGAATAGAATTTATCTGTGCTTGTTTGTCCATATTCAGAACCACAAGCCCCCAACGACCACACAAAATGCTCTCCAGAGTTGTAATCTTGTAACCAAACTTGGAAGCAGGGGTGCAAGTGATTTTGATTGATTCTCTTCATCAACTTTCTCTTTGAAAACAATTACTACAAATTTGGTACGCCTACAATTCAAAAACGGAAAGAGTTGAGATAATAGATAATTGATCAATTAAAAGAACTAAATGCTCTTCACATTTATTCCGTCCTTTAGCGGTCCTACGTCAAGCTTCCGTTCGTGTCCCTAGGCACAGACCCTTCTACTTTTGCATGAGGATTTAGAAAATTCCATCTTCACCTGGAGCTTTCATATTATGAAACTTTTTTGTTATAGATCTTAATTCATCCAAATGAGTCCTCCAAGAAGGATCAAACATATTTTCCCGGAAGAAAATATTCAAATAATCCTGAGCAACCTGATTCTAGTACGAACCAAACTGAAAATCAGGGGAATTCTCGAATTGCTTAGCAAGTCTTTGAGCTTCCAAAAGGGTTTGAAACTCGGGTCTTATTTCGACACAACATTTTCAGGAGTTTTGTTCCTAAGGGCAGATAATCGCTTTTTAACTTGTTTTTGCAAATATAAATGTCTTGGCATGATCGCGAGTTCTTTGATATTGCCTTCTACGGACATTTTTCAGACGGATAAAGAGCTGAAGATCGTCATCTTTTATAATAGAATCGAATTTAACCTCTCATGTTGGTACTGAGGCAGCTCTTGCTTCAACTATAGAAGTAGTCAGAGATTCAAGAGCATAATTAATTTCACCTTTGGTTTGCAAAGGAATGTTTGGACCGAAGCTATATTGCATAAATGCTCGATATTGCCCCCAATCAGCTCTATGCTAATTGGAAGAAGAGCTGTTGGGATTAGAAATTATTTCTTGGGATATTTCAAAAGTTACTGGAAGGTGATCAGAACCGAAGTCAGCATGGGTAACCAATTGGCTACAAAGTTGACATGAATCATTTAAGACCAAATTGATAGTTGAGGGATTTTCTGCTGAAGAAAAGCATGTTGAGCTGTTTGGATATTGAATAGTGTAATAACCTACAGAACAAGCATTTAACAGAATATTACCATTGGCATTGCTTTGAGCATTATAAGAGCTATTAGACGGCTAAGTTTCTGAAGGTCACCCTTGCGAAAATTCTTTTGTAGGCTGACGCATTGGAATGGCTAATAGGCAGCTTAACATGTAAGTTGTTCAAATTTTGTTTCGTCAGAAACTCCCAAAAATTCAAAAAATTTGGGTCAAATTAAGAAAGAATTTGATGTTTGATACGCCTTTGAACAATGATTGCAACGCGACCTCAGGCTCCATCAAGACGATCATTTCGATAAATAAAATATTTTGCGTCCCTTTTAACATTATGGACAGGTTTAAGCAACATTTCAGATACAACGGCAATATGCACATTATGAACTCTCAAAAAGTTAAATAGTCTTCATAATTTTTAAGAAATCGAGCATTCCAGTTCAAAATATTTATTGATTTTAAATCCGTTACTGACTTTCAAAGTCATGACAATATTGTTCGCATACTTTACTCCAGTTTGAATAGCATCAATAATGGAGTTAGTTTTCAGCATATCAGTAATCATGTTCATTAATGATTTCTGTAAAAATTCCATTTTAGGAGCACTAATACTTCCTATGTCAAAATTATCATATCATTCAAATAACAGCTCAATCTCGTGAACAACCTAAACCAAATCATTCCTCTACCAGATAGTGTTATTAGTTTTCGAGATCGAGTTTTGATTCGAGAGAAATCGGCGATTGACGTGTTTGTTTACAAATTTAATTACGCGCAAATCTCAGATCACTCCGCGTATGTAGACCGTTTTGGAAAGGATTTAGGCGTAGACAACGTCCGTATTTTGAATAAAGTGTAGACACTCTCCAACCCGCACCAATAAAGTTTCTTCGTAGTTAATAAACAGCCCCATAGTTAAAATTTATGACCTTCAAATGTATCGAAGCACAATCAAAAATTATGACTTATTAATGGTTTTTTAAATATTTTTCGGAGCATATAAATGTGACCGAAGATTTTAGCTTTAATGTTGTTGAAATAATCCTTAGATATGCTTAGCTTATATTTTTTTTTATATAAAATCCAATGCTCCAGAAAAATCAAGTGTTTATTATGAATGTGAAATAATTCGAACGTTAATGGGTTAGATAAACTTGAATCTATGCGGTAGAACTTCCACTGACTACTTCAATTTTAATTGACTCAACATGTTCTAGTCCAGTCAACATGTTCTAGTATGCATCTCGGTACAATGACCTCCAACTCTTTGCCATGAAACAACGCTGAAAGAGTTTTATGATATATCGGATGAACTATCAGCTACCAGAGCAATGCCATCATGCCTGACAAAAAGGTTAATCAAATCATAGTCCACACATCAGGAAAGGCATCATACAACCAGTTCACAAACCACAACCCCTAATCGCCGTAGGTACAGATAAATAGTCGATGCAAAATGCGCTTTATTTCTAACCATCCTCACATTCATCACAGCAACATCATCGGCATCATCCTGGCGAAAGCTAATCGTAGCAAAAAGGTACACTGCTGTTACTGCACGGGAAAGAACGGCTACAACAAATTACCTCCTTCGCCACCAACGCACGGTCATGGCCAGTCACACTCTACAACTTCTGTAAATACAAGCTGATCCAGTTGATGTAGGACGAGATCCGGGTGGCCACCACTGCCTCGCCGGAAGCGCACTGCTGCTTGTCATCGAAGCTATACAGCCCCACCAGATAGGGCAGGTAGATGTTGTTGGTCCGCTGGAACGAGATAAACGGATGGCCCCCGTGTCCGCAGTTGGCCGCCTCGGTGCCATCTTGGTTCAGCTTCAGCTCCTGCCAGCACATCTGGTCATTATTCAGCTCGGTGTGGGAGGTGAACTGTTTACAGTCCCGATTCTGCACCAGGTTCTTGTCACGTGCGGTGAAAAACTGTTTATTGAACTGCACCTCCTGTGCGTAGTAAGGCGTTCGATTTAAATCACGCCACAAACAGGCCGGAATTGCATTCTCGTTGACACTGTCCGTTCGATCAATCCGGAGCGGCGGCGACCATTGGAATGCATACAAAAGACAGGTTCATTATTTACCACAAGAGAAAGAGAGAGAGGGAGAGAGAGAATGCAGGGTGCAATTAAATTTTCAATCGCTCTGTCTGGTTCACGGATGATTGGAAGTGTTCGCAGATTGGCAATTTCGATTTGGTGGAGTTCCGTGGTCGTTGGCAAGTCAATCCAACAAACGGTGCCTGCCAAAATACTCACTTCCAATCAGTAATGAACCGCTACGGTCGGAGTATACTTACACAACATCCGACTCCAGCTTCAGGACTGCAATGTCGAAATCATGCGTTTTGGGATTGTAACCGGGATAGGGAACGGTATCCGTCACTCGGATAATTTGCGCATCACCATCGTAGATTTTGCTGACATCGGTTTCGCCGATGCTAATTACATCCGGGCTGCGTCTAGATTTGGAGTTGAAAATTATGATCAATTGAATTACGTTGGTGGGAAAGCTGAGCGACCGCAAATTGTGAAAAACTAGGGGTTGACGTTAGGGGAAATTACAGCCTCGGCACTTCTTTACCTATTACCGTCAGGGGGATAAATGAAGTCTTAGGGTGTTAATTTTGTTTTCAAAACGATGCTCTGGAATATTCTGATTCTTCATGCACAAAACCATCGCCCTAAAACTTACTTCCCTTGACGGTAATAGGTATAGAAGTACCGAAGTCGTCATTTTCCCTACAAAAAGGCATACATTAAAAAAAGGAATTTATCCAGCTATGAAATGAGATCTGACTCATTGAAAAAATAAGAGATCCCAGGGAAAACTAACTGGGGGCAGTATAAATCAAAACTTATAGTTGGAGTAAATAGCTTGAGAGGATGTTCAAAAGCCTACATAGAACTTGAGAGCAATTCTCAACAGCTCTCTGGCTTAATACAACAAATTTATTACGATAGCTGTCCTGCAAAGGAACGTTCTACCAATAGAAATTTACCTTGGTGGGATAAAACCTTACAGAAACTTCGAAAGAAATCCCGGAAACTATTTAACCGGGCAAAAATAACAAAGCAATGGGATCAATATAGAGAAGCCCTTACAGCTTATTTAATAGCGAAATTCGAAGATCAAAAAGAAAGGATTGGAGGCATGCCTGTGAAATCATTGAAAATACTCCAATTGCTGCTAGATTGCAGAAAGTTCTTTCAAATAGCCTAGGAACTCCAAAAAAAGAGGACGGGACGTTTACTGGATCACTGGAGGAAACGTTAGAGATAATGATGAAAACACACTTTCCATGTTCAACTTTCTAACATAAATGAAGACCAAAATATATGTGCAGCAAAAACTGTCTCTGAAAAAAAACAGGAAACAATGAACGAGTCGACTGGATCAGAGAGAGCCAGGAAAGATGCTCAAAATCTGGCCAAAATATTTTTTTACAGAGAAACGAGTTGAATGGGTGATTGATTCTTTTGAACCTTTCAAATCACCAGGTAGGGACGGAATTTTTCCGGTACTACTCCAGAAAGGGAAAGAAACATTGACACCTAACATTAAGCTATATTAAACTGTCGTCAAGTTAAGATTATTCTTATTCCGAAGGCTATCAAAAAGGATAAAACGTCTCCTAAATCCTTCAGGCCGATTAGCTTCTTCTTCTTCTTCTTCTTCTTCTTCTTCTTCGCATTTCAAGCTTATTGCTTATGGCATATTAGCTTATTGCGTGCTCTCAACTTAGTGTTCTAGATGCACTTCCACAGTTATTAATTGAGAGCTTTCGATGCCTGCTACCATTTTTGCATAGGTATAATTGTGTGGCAAGTACAATCATACTTCTATGCCCAGGGAGTCTAGAAATTTTCCAACCCGAAAAATTCCTAGACCGAACCGGGAATCGAACCCAGTCACCTCCAGCATGGTCTTGCTTTATAGCTGCGCCTTTACCGACTGAGCTAAGGGAGGCCGATTAGCCTATCTTCCATTATGCTGAAGATAATGGAGAAAATAATAGATGAGTATATAAAGTCAAAGTACTTGGTTACAATTCCTTTTAATAAATATCAGCTTGCATATCAAACTGGTAAATCAACCGTAACAGCTCTTCATACGCTGGTTACAAAGCTAGAAAAATCTTTTGAATCAAAAGAAATTTCCCAAGCAGCGTTCATTGATATTGAAGGAGCATTTGATAATGCATCTTATAACTCCATGAAAAACACTATGATTAAACATGAGTTCGATAAAAGCATAGTTAATTGTATTAACGAAATGCTTAGCAAAAGAGAAATCCCAGCAAACCTTGGAAGCTCATCCATAACAGTAAGAGCTGTAAAAGGGTGTCCTCAAGGAGGTGTTCTTTCACCTCTACTGTGGTCTTTAATAGTTGATGACCTTCTCAAAAATTTAGAAGCACAGGGTTTCGAGATTATTGGCTTCGCAGATGATATAGTCATATTAGTGCGTGGAAAATATGACTATGTCATTTCAAGTAGAATGCAAATTGCTTTAAATTATGTTTCATCGTGGTGCACTAGCGAAGGATTGAATATTAATCCATCTAAAACAACTATTGTACCATTGACACGAAGAAAAAAAAATGTCCATAAATAGTATTAAACTGAAAGGAATAATTTTAGAACTTTCAAACACAGTCAAGTATCTGGGAGTTACTCTTGACAGCAAACTAAATTGGAATTCGCATCTAGAGCAAGTCATTAGTAAGGCACCAAATGCTCTTTGGATAGGTAAAAAACTTTTGGTAGGAAATGGGGACTAAAACCTAAAATGATCCACTGGATTTATTTGACGATTGTAAGACCCAGAATAACCTATGCATCATTGGTTTGGTGGCCTAAAACCAATGAAAAATCAGCTCAGAAGAAGCTGGGGAGGCTGCAAAGGCTAGCTACTCTCTCAATAACTGGTGCAATGAGCAGCACACCAAGTATGGCACTAGATGCTCTGCTTTATCTGCTTCCGTTGCATCAATTTATTCAATTAGAAGCCGTAAGGAGTGCATTAAGGATCCGACGGTCACAGCACTTCCTTGAAGGTAATCTTAGAGGACATATGAGCATCCTAAAAATGTTCAATATTGATTTTATTGTGTTACAAAATGAAGATTTGATGAAGAAAAACTATCACTTCGATCGTCTTTACAATGTAGCAGATGCGGATCGCGATTTGTGGGACAATGGGGGACCAAACATTCGTCCAGGATCAATTGTCTTTTATACAGACGGCTCTAGATTGGATAATCGTGTAGGAGCAGGGGTAACAGGTCCAGGTATAAATATCTCAATATTTATGGGCTACTGGCCTACCGTGTTCCAAGCAGAAGTCCAAGCAATTTTTGAATGTTATAAAATTTGCTTGCGTAGAAATTATAGACATTCGAATATCTGCATTATGTCTGATAGCCAAGCAGCACTAACTGCTTTGAAATCAGCTATTTTGGGTTCCTGGTCACTGTGGAATTCAAGGGAATGAGAAAGCCGACTAGGCTAGGCTTGGATCATCTCAACAATTTGTAGGACCAGAACCATTCCAGGGCTGTTACAATATTTTCTAAATTTGATCCGCGAAATCCGCGATTTCTCAAAAGAAATCCGCGACTTCAAATACTAATCCGCGACAAAAAAAAATGTTTTCATTACCTAAAAATACCATTTGTATACTACTACATGGCATTTCAAGCTTATTGCATATAGCACATTAGATTTTGCCTGCTCTGAACTTAGTGTTCTTTGAAATACCTTCACATTGATTTGAGAGCTTTCTATGCCTGTACCATTCTATGCCCAAGGAAGTAGAGAAATTTGTCAACCCGAAAAATTAATAGACCGAACGGGAATCGAACTCAGTCGCCTCCAGCATGGCCTCGCTTTGTAGCTGCGCCTTTACACACTGAGCTAAAGGAGTATCGTTTGTATCCTCTGGACAAAAAAATTCAGTTGTTAATCTATGTTTTTTTTAAATTATTATGGTCACTTTAACACTCTTGAGTCATTCGTGACTTGTCCGGGGGTGAGATTTGAACTCGTGACTTTGGCGTGAGAGGTATGGATGTTAACCACTACGCCGGGGTCGCCCCCTAGTTTATGAATGTTTCTATTGAATAATACAGGCCTAGATTTAATGAAGCATTATTTAAAAAATGCATTTTCATTTGAAATGCAAATTTTCTTGAAAGTTAACCTTTGCGTCTCTGACGTATTTTGCTGTCCTAAATGTTGTAGTTAATTTGGCACTAGTTTTCTCAATTTTTGACCGATTCAAACCAAACACCCTGCACATAATCGAGAAATTACCAGAGTTTCATAAGTCACACTTGTTGGTCACGTCGTGGTTCTGTATTTACACAGATATTCCTTGGGGTCTGTCGAATGGTGAGACATTTGCATGATATTTTTTATTTCGAATATGAAACTTTTCGATGTTAAATCATAACCGAATCGTATATATGTGACTTTTAGGATCATGCACGACTTATTACTATGTGTACTGGAAATTATAGGTTTTACAAATTTGATTTTTTCTACTAGATCAACGAAAGCTGCAATAATGTCTGTAGTATCGAAAAATGTCCAATCAGTTTCAAAGTGTCGATGTGGATCATGCATGATCTATTTCCGAGTAATCCACATGTAAATTCTTCAAATCGTCCTGGAGTTCAGATAATTTGATCTACCAACCGAGATTGGGACAATGTCTTTAATTTCGAAATATTTCCAGACAGATGCACAGTGTCTATGTGAATCATGCATAAACTATTGCCATGTATACCAGATGTTTTAGGTTCTCCAAATCGTTCTGGAGTTCAGATGATTTATTCTACTAGATCAACCATGACTGGGATACAGTCTGTATTATCGAATTATGTCCAAACAGATTCGTAGTGGCTATATGGATAATGTTTAATTATTTCCACGTATACTAGATGATCTATGATCTGTAGTATCGAAATATCGATATGGAAATCCTTAGGAAATATTTGGCATACACGAATATAGGTTGGCATGATCCACATAGACACTGCAAATTTATTTGGACATATTTCGATACTACAGATATAGAATTAGGCTTGGTTGATTTAGTAGAAACATAATGTGATCTCCAGAATGATTTCAGAACCTATAACATCTTGTATACGTAGCAATAGGTCGGGCACAATCCACATAGACACTTTGAATCTGTTTAAACATATTTCGATACTACAGACATTATTGCAGTCTTGGTTGATATAGTTGAACAAATCAATTGAACGACAATTTGGAGAACCTATAATATCCGGTATACATGGTAATTACCTGCATATATACGATTCGTTTATGATTTGACATCGAAAAATGCTGTGTTCATATTGGAAATAAATAAAAACATGAAAATGTCTCTCATTGGACAGACCTCACGGAATTTTCGTGTAAATCCGGTGTGACTTATGGAATTGAGATCATTTCTCGATTATTTGCAGGGTTTTTGGTTTGAACCGGTAAAAAATTGAGAGCTAAATGAACAACAAAATTGATGAAAGCAAAATAATCCGGGACGGAAAGGTTACAATGAATTCCACAATTTTTGTGACAGCACATCAGTCCCTTCGCGATTTTCGCGACTGAAAGTTCAAATCTGCGACAAATCCGCGAAAATCGCGAAATCCGTGAAATTCGCGAAATCCGCGCCTGTTGTAACAGCCTTGCATTCTGTAGAGTTTCTGCTTGCTCTCTTAGAATGGAGTTCAAGAAATGGGAAAAATGAAAGTGGAGACCAATTGGAACAACACTCTCATTGCTAGGCAGTCGAAACGGTTTATTAATCCGAGCATTTCAATGACTAGCAAAATTCTTGAACTATCAAAGAAAGATCTCAGTATGTACACTGGTTTAATAACAGGGCACTGTCCATGTAAATATCACTTGAAGCTAATAGGGAAACTTCAAGAGGACATGTGTCGATTATGTGGCATAGAAAAAGAAGACTCTGAACACCTGCTATGCTCTTGTACAACAATCTTCAATAAGAGGCGTATTTTTCTGGATAAGGGGCTGACAGAACCCTTTGATATTTGTAATTCAGCTCCCAGCCAAGTAGTGCAATTTATTCGAAATGTAATACCTGACTGGGAAAATGCTTTCAGTCAGTTAACGGCGGTCGCTTCATAAAATGGTGATACGACATGCTGATAAAGCAATATTAAAACGGGAAATATATCACAATAGATCTAAGTACTGGTCGCAGTGATCAAAATACCCAACACGGAAAAAAGGAGCCATCTCCCCTATTTTCTCATTTTTATTTTTGTAGTGCATATTTCGATTATTTTATTATAACTTTTCAATTTTATATTGGAAATTCTTCAATTATTTATGGAACATATATGTTTTTTTTTTATTATGCAAACATGTCTTTTAAATGGCTACTGTTGAATTTATTGTTGCTTTTCTTTTGAGGTTTTACCTGTGAAAAACATAATCTTTTAAATTTCAATCCGTACTTTCCATTAGTCTATTGCTCATTTTCAAAAGTATGTTGCTCCTGAGCAACCAGATTCATTGACCATTCGGATCATGTTAAATGCATGAGTTTATATTTTCGGTGGTAACATTTCGGAGAAAAAATCAGCAATGGCTTGAACATCAACTCTTACAGAATTGACAACTATTATCGAGATCCCACATTTCAAATCCTTTTTTTATCAAGCAACATTCGAACATACTCAGGAAAGGTGTTTTAGAGCATTTATCCATAAATCACTAGCCTCATAATTATATGAAACGGAAACTCCGATTCAGAAAATCGTAAAATCGATCAGCTCCAACCATTTGATATAGTCTTCGGCTCAATCATGACAACCCGTATGCACAGTTCTTGCAAAGCCGGTACGACGCATCCTACCGCATATTACACCCATGAGACTACTCCCATGCACCCCCACCCAGTTCATCAAAACTCACCTCTTGACCATGTTGGTGCAGCTGGCCGTCGTTAGGACGGTGTTTTTGTTAATTAACGTTCCCATGCAGTTCCAATTGGTGGCGGTCTTGTTGACTTTCCACCCGATCATCACCGAGTGTGGATGTTCGCCCTCCTCGATGCGGTGTCCTTCGGGCGAAGCGAAATCCACGTACTTCTTCCTGAAGCGCTGGTAATTGGTTTCACATTCGGTCAGCAGCGGCAGGTGTGCCGTCGCGATGATCGAATTAACCGGGCAGCAAACTATCGATGCCGTTTCGTTGGTGCAGAATTTGATTTCATCAGCCAGCGCCCGATGGTTGCAGTGGTCAATATTCACACAAACGCCGGCCTCACGGTCCGAAGCCTCGCAGACATAGTCCAGTGCCAGTTCCTTTTCCATCACCACTTGCCTGATGGCGTTGACGTTAATCGTTCTGTAGATAACCGAATTCATCCATTCGCGGAAGGCAATAGCCCGGGATGCCACCATCGGACGGCCAAATCCACAGGCCGGTGCATACGAGCCAACACCAATCAGATCCTCCGGGAATGGATTGGTGTCACTCGCGGGTCTCATTTCGCTCAGTACTTCGTTGCCGTTCCACGGTTCGCACGCTCCCGGAACGAGAATATCCTTGGACCAGGTGCAAAACTGTGTCTCGTTAATGCCATCCTTCAGGATGCCATATTTCTTGTAGTATTCCGTGCAATTGGCCCTTTCCATCAGTTGCAAAGTGGCCGTCAGGTAGCGCTCGGTCCCATCGGTGTTGTTATCCACCGTGCCGTCATCGTTCAGGTTGTACGGTCCGATTCCGAACGAAAGGAACTGGCTTTGATCTTCGATGCCGGCGATGCAAGAAACAGATTTCCAGTCATACCGATTCCTGACAGCAAGGCAATCGGCATCACCATCATCGTCGTGGACGTGGACAGCAACAAGGGATAAAGCATAGAAAGTGAATCAACGAAAAGAGATGAAAAACAAAAATGATTCAGCCACTAAACAAATTTCGAATCACGTCGGGATAATCACCTGTTATCGGTTTGCAGCCGAACCAGGGCCAGATCGTTGTAGAGCGTTTTTTTGTCGTACTCCGGATGGAAGATTATCTCGTCAATGCGCTTCCAGTCGTTCTTGTAGTTGACGACGTCGACGTCACTGGGGAGCAAGGGCAGGGTGGAAGTAGTGGGAATGCAGGAGGCATGCAATGGACAAACAAAAATAATGTAAAACGATTGGAAAAAGTAGGGTTTGTGGTTTTTGTTTTTCTGGAACTGAAATTACTTCAGCAAAAATGTGCAATTTAGTGAGTAGAAAAATTAATAAATAAAGGGTTGTGTCGCCACGCAAAATTGATGGACATATGTCATGCATTTTTGACTATTATACTTTATCTTATATTTTTCAAGAATTTCAATGTTTCGGTTATGGTTCAATGTTGGTTCAAGTATTTTTCCTGGAATGTAAAAAGTTATGAAAATTCAAATGTGGTGTCCTAAACAAACCGTTATAAATTTTGAAGTAGCACCCTAGTATCGTCCACAAAGACACCAACAATTGCCAAAAAATACGTAATTTTTTTTCAGTAGCTCCATCATTAGTTTTAAATTAGGTCCAGTGCTGTGGTTGTGGGTAGAGTCGGTGTATAATGAGTCACGCCAAGAGAAAAACAGTTGAACTCGCATCACGGTTTTCGAAAGATTCCCTTTCCTTTAACTTGGCAACAGAGGACTTCTACATCAACTGATTTCTAGCGGGAAAAAATAATAGCGGCTGTAGTAAATCATTATATCAGTGATTTTGCCAAATTATCTTAACAAAAAATAGTAGAAATTCTCATTACTGATCATTACCAAACGTATCCCATGACAATTGAATGTTCACTGCGTGTTTGCTGTCATTTCTTCCATTATATTTTATATTTTATAGCAATACCTTTCGTGAACCTTTCATAGAATTGTAATGTTTGTTTACTTTGCACGATAGGTAGCTGGTTTGAGAGTTCGACAGGTAGACTTGGCTTCACTGTTGGCGTGACTCATCATACACCGATTCTACACTCTTAGCTACGATTACCTAAAATTATCGGTAAAAAGTTATCGGTATTTTTTACCAATAAAAATCGTTACTTTTTACTTTAAATAGGCTATTTTTTTGTATAAATTAGATAATATTTAACGTTAATTATTAGTAATCCATGATTACCGATAATTTAGGTATGTGCACTTCCTTCGATTATCGGTAATTTCTACCGATATTTAGGTTTTCTTTACCGACTTTAAGGTATGTGCATCTTAGTGTGTAGTCATGGGTAGTCGACGACTACTTAGCTCCAAACCGAGAAAAAAAAAATACAAAATGGGGCAAATATTGTTATAAGTTCAGGAAAAAATTTATCAAATTGTAAAATTTTAAATGGCTTACGCCCCTGACCTACACATATTCAGGGAAAATTGAAAACAATATTCAGTTTGAAATGGCTGCGCCCCTAGTAGGCATGTTTAAAATGATTAAAATTGTTTAATTTAAAGTGTCCTTGGTAGACAAGTTTACGAAAAAATGTTTTGCGCTTCTGGTAAACATGATCTAGGATTAAAAAATAATAAAATAATAAATTTTAAATGGCTTGCATTCCTGGTAAATATGATCAGAAAAACTAAGAAAACGATGTTAAATGCTAGCGCCCTGGGAGACATGTTCAGGGAAAACAATAAACTTGAATTAAATTGCGCCCCTGATAAATCTTTTCAGGTTAAAATTGATAAAAATCGTTAAACTTGAAGTGACTAGCGTCCCTGATATACACGTTCAGGGAAAAAATTAGGTGTGTAGTTAATGGCTCTTCAGTCTTGACAAAATCAATATACTGTTATTTTATTTTTTGTCCAACGTTTCGGTCCGTTTGGGACCTCCTTCAGGAACTCATCTTCAGGGACTCAATAATTACATAACGGATAATTACGGACCGAAACGTTGGACTAAACTAAAATAAAAGTATTTTGATTTTGTCGAGGCTGACGACACAACACATTCACAATCCACATCAATTCCCAAAAGCACCGTACCCAACAAAGGAAAAAATTAAAAACAAATATGTTTTAGTTTAAATTGCTACCGCTCCTGGTACACAAATACATGAAAAAAAAATTAAAATATATGTTAAATTTGAAATGGCTAGTGCATTTGATAAACATATTCAGGGAAAAACTGATCAAAATCGTAAAATGTTAAGTCACTAACACCCGTGACATACATGTTGAAAGAAAATTAAAAAAAAATGTTAAATTTGAAATGGATTGCGCCTCTCATAAACATGTTTCGAAAACAATGAATCAAAAATGGGTTGGTTGGAAATGCTATATAACATGAAGCTTAAATGTGATAAGTTATTAGCTAGAAAATTTTCTGAAGAGGGTAGGCTGATAGTTCCGCTAGAGTACGGCAGCACGAAAAAAGAAATAAAAGTTGAAAATGAGCGAAAGGCGCTTAAAATGACAGTACTAGTCAAACGCACACTTATTTACCTAACTCATATATGAATTGTTGAGGAGACTTGAAGTATTTCTTCAAATCTACAGGCACCTGCCGTACTTTAGCGGAACTAAAAACCTACCCTTTTCAGACCTTTCTCTAGGTAATATATTATCACACTAAAGTTGCATGTTAGATAGCATTTCCACTCAACTCTGAAAATCGCAAACTTCACGATGAAGCAACAAAAAACACTTTGAATGTAATCTGATCGGGGAAAAAATATGAAAAATTATGTTAAATAGTACTGTTAAAAAGTTCATCCAGTTGAGGTTAACCTCTAAAAAAAAATTGGAAAACTGTATCCTTGTATTCAGCTAATAAAATATTTAATAATTTTGGAAAAACTTCAGTTCTGTTGGGAAAATGTTGAATCGCCCAAGGATAGACTCACTCCCGAAAGTGTTACATTTTCTGGACTGATTTAACACTTTCGGAAGTAATACCACGCAAATATCTTTGGTTGTTATTTGTTTTTTTTTTCAAAAATTTGCGTAGCTACTATTGCGTTATTGACACGCACGAATGGTCGACGAGTTTGGCATTCCATTTTTGCTAAAAGTAGGAAAAGTTGGGTTCACGAGGTTTCCTAGATAAAAGGTTCTTAAACGAGAGCCACATGGGATGTGCCATTTTGCATGAATCTACATATATATATATATATATATATATCCCTGCAGTTCTTTTATACTGCCGATAAATTTATGCTATCTTAACAGTAGTCATAATTTATAACTACTCAAGATATCACAAATCCAAATCCATCATGCTGAATGAATTGAACAGCGACGTAGAAACCAAATTGGTAATGATTTGTAAAGCGAATCCATATTTAAGTATCTTCGCATTATTTTTCGTTTGTTTTTTTAATTTAAGTATCATCATCTCCATAATTTTCCTCTTAGTTAACCTCGTACATGCAACTTAAGAAGGGCAACCGAGTGCTTCGGAGCGGGCGAGGGCAGTAAAGGCTTCATACTGTGGAGTTTTCGATTTGGTAACTTACTGCTAGTTTTGGGAACTTTGTTCAACTCAAGGTTTTGCCCACGAATGTTTAGGAAAATTTCTAGAAATTGTTCAAGGTTTTTCCTGAAATTTTGAGAAAGTTTAGTATGATATTTAGATACTAGAGTGGGTCATCGTTATATGGAAAAACGCAAACTTTTCCGTACCAATCGAAAACAACCGTTTTTTTGGTTCCATTTGAAGTCCCAAACAACTGTGCAAAATTTGGGGACGATTGGTTGTAACTCGGCTTTCCGCATTGCGTTTGAAAATTGTATGGAAATTAGTATGGGAAAACCAACTTTTTTGCAATTTTATCCCTAGAGACCACAATTTTGCATGAACCGTTTAACTAAGTATGTACAAATATAGAACAACTCTGCCAAATATTTATGGTTTGAATTAAACACCAAAAATCCCTTTTTCTGCAAACATTGCCGGAGTACCAATGGAAGTCAGATTCCAAACTGAAATAACATCGGAGTCTCTTATCTTACCGATTTGGTATGTTCCGATGAAGTATTCAAAAACAATTTCTCTATCTCATATGTGTAGTTCGAGAGGGAGGGTGGGGGGTCTGGGTTAATAATATACCCCCTCTCACTCATATTAATAGTTTCAGTTTGAATTAATTTCGGAGTTTCTTATTTTATCGATTTGGAATGTTCAGGATGAATTATTCAAAAATATTGCTTTATCTCGTAGACGTTGCTAGAAAGCGGGGTGTGGAGGAAGGGGAAGAGCTTACTGTATGCAGTTTTTAAAACAAAAATTGTTGTAGTGTAAATATTCAATATCCACTTGTCAGTTCATTTGTAAGTGAGGAGATGATGTTTGAATTATTAGCAGGTGGGAAATTTTAAATTTCTATTCAAAGCTTTTATTTACCTGCACATAGAAAACACAGAAGTAGTCGTACGTCAAGAACCAAAAACAAAAGAAAGCGAAAACTGTCTTCACCAGTTTCGTCCCAGACACAGGTACAGTCGGATTTCGCTTGTTGGGCTAAGTTTCAGTTGGGCTCCCAAGTCAAACGTCACTTCTAACAGTGCTGATTCCATTTCTTAATTTCGACCGGCTTCATGCAAAAACTGGCAAACGAATGGAGTAATGATACAGATTATTTGAATGCGATACAACGAGTTGCTTCCTTGATGGTTGTCAACCATATGGCTGAATGAGGGGTGAAGCTAATTTCCGACTTTTCAAGAAATCCACCCGAGACCGAATTCAACAGCAATATTTGCTTCAAGGGACAGAACAGCATCGAAAAGAGAATCCTAAGAAATCGTAGAATATATTAAAATGAAATATAATCATTCCAATCCAATGACATTTGTGTGAAGGTATCTGACATTGTGTATTGCACCAAAAGAGCAGGGAAGAGAATGGGAGTAATCGCTTTACGACTGCTCTTACGAGATTGAGCAAATGTTTTTGAATAACCCATCCGAACAACTCAAGAGGTGGGAAGCTCCGAAGTTATTTTATTTTTATCTTTACTTTCATTGATATAAGTGAGGGCCGAAAAGTATACAGTAAGCCCCCCATATCTAACTACACCTATTAAATGGAGCACATGTTTTTGAATACATCTGAACAAACCAACTTGACAAGACCAG